TCAAATATGGGCGGGTCAACTGCAGCTAATGATTTCTGCCCATACATAATATTATATTACTCATTTAGTAAATACTCAATTCTGATTGGTAGCCCAGCAGTTTCAAATATCAAAAACGTATCTCTGACTAAATATGTCTATGGTTACCGAATTGCAAGGTTTTTTTTGTTTCATTCCAAAACCCTTTCCATACACCAAAGAATACCTTCCAAACGCAGAGTCAATTGTACGATCCCGACTCAATATGTGTTTATGAATTACTATTCGCGAATAGTCGAGAGTGTCTTGCCCCACCAATGGCACAATCACAAACACATGCAAAGGCAAGTCAGTTGGTCACATGGTACTTGTACAATTCAAAATAGGGAATTGCCTCGGACATCATTATTGTCGCTGATGCCCAAAACTAGGAAATGTCCTCCACATCTCCACCATGAATCTTTTATAAAGCTTTACTGAGACCTTGAATGTTGTTGCCTTGATCAAACAACTTCTGAGCAGGAGCGTTATGCCATTCACCATAACAAACCACATCATAGAAGCTGAAGTGGTTGTTTTGTTCCTTTCTTCTACGGGCGTTAATATTTCAAAGCATTAAGAACTCACACTGTGAGTGTACATGTGCAGCGGGCCGTTGCAATGAAGTCGTCGTCATGGTTATATCAGCACAAGTCTTTTTGTGATCTCCGGTTCTTATAACATTCTGTGTAAGCGAAGATAATGAACAGACGATCAGCTGTATCGAGGTACGCTGACAAATTGTAGTTTAATTAATGCAGGCAAACTCGCGACATCATTGCTGAAACTAAGCTGTATTTCATCAACAAATCTCTGAAATACAAAGGCGTGAAACCCTTGCAGAAGAAAAGATGTATGTGATATATTCATTACAGCGAGGGGGCATGGGTGGCCCAGTCGTCTAAGGCGCCGCGACTCGCTGTGCAGAGTTGCGTCCCTTGGGCACGCCAGAAACCTATGATTGTGGGTTCGAATCCCTGTTCGCCCCGATTATGTTTCTAGGTTTGTCAGCACCATACCCATGCTCGTGGGTGACACCAAAGTGGTAAACGTCTGGGACCTGCATCACTTCGGGCTTTCCTCCCACATTAAGCTGATACGCCGCGATATAACTGGAATACTGTTAAAAGTGGCGTTAAACCCAACTCACTCACTCACTCACTCATGACAGCGAACACCTATTGGAACAATGTACCTCGTGCTGTTTCTATTTAACTGACTTCTTCTGTTGTTTATTCTCCGCCTGAAATGTTAAGAGCCCCTGTTTGATGTTTTTTTCATAAAGGGAGAATGATAGCATATGTTAAACTATCTGTTATATTATATTTATTGCAGTCATTTACGTACATTTGCAACCTTTGATAGAGAATCGCACAATTCTCGTGCATTATGTGTATTTTTTGTGAAAACTGATGTTTGTAGGCAGGCACAACCTTGTCGTCTCTCATGATATATTTGGAGCCGAATCACGTTTGGTTTTTGGAGAAATAGAATTGAACAGAATGGAACTTTGGTTTGTGTTACATATTGTGATATGATCCTCCTTCCCACGTTCTCCGGCAAAGTTTTGTTGATCCACTGTAGGTCGGCTGCTCAAGCCATGTTGCATGCCTAAGAAGGAATAACTGTACAATACACATACAACACCAGTACCTTTGAAACCGGATTTTTTAAGTCATATGACTTAAAACCCACTCACTAAAAGTCTTTTACTCAGTATTCATAAGTAATGAATCTTTGTTTTCAGGGTTTGCAACCATTTTCAAATCCATACGCACCAAAGCATCTTTGGGTTTCACAAAAGCTAGCACCGAATGATCCAAATTTAATTGCATCGGTTTCTCGAAGCAATTAGCTCTTAAGACGTTTCCATTTCAGATTTATATATAATTGAAAACTTCAGGTACATGTAGGTCATGGTATACCGTTGCACAAAGTCATTTGTTTTGGGGTTGTTTTTTTGTTTAACGCCGCACTAAACAATATTCCAGTTATATGACGGCAGTCCGTAAATAATCGAGTCTGGACCAGACAATCCAGTGATTGATATCATGAGCATCGATCCACGCTATTTGGATTCGATGACATGCATCAACTATGTCAGCGAGCCTGACCATCGATTCTGGACAAGACAATCCATTGATTGACATTATGAGTGAGTATGGTTTTACGCAGCTTTCAGCAATATCACGGTGGGGGACACAAGAAATGGAACTCGAATCCATTGCCTTCGCCGTGATGAGCAAACGCTTTAACCACTAGCCTACCCCATCGCCCCTATTGACATTATGAGCATCGATCAACGCAATTGGGATACAAAGGTGAGTGTATCCTGCCTCATCGGTCACCCGTCACAAACACATGCAAAGGCAGGTCAATTTTTCACCTGAAAAAACACGGGAACATATGGTACAGGTTAAAATAGGGGCATCGGACATTATTTTTAGCACTGATGTGTCAAATTTGGAAAAGGCCTCCACTTGCTTCCATCAATAGATTATTGTTGACACAAAGATAAATTACGGTGTTGTTATACGTGAATAATTAGTTAATATGGGAACATTGAAAATCTATGGAATCTCAGATCAATGTGAGATCCGCAGGTAGGAAGGCATCTGTCAAGACCGCTCCAAGTGAGCCTCTGGGGAGATTACTTGCTGTCACAAGCTACCAAAGACCACTCACTTCACTCTCTCTGAATCTAACTCGTATTGACTCTAAACAATGCTTACTGAATAACTGAATAACCCATTTTCGTGAGCCATTCATTAGAAATCTTTGAACCATAAGCTCTATCGTTCATTGAACATGCAAATGTCCCATCTACACTTTCAAAAAAAGAAACGAACAGGGAGTATGTAGTTCATTGAACCTGAATACACAAAAATCCGGTATAAAAATTGGATACATGTTATTGGAAAACGATGGAGGCCTGATATTCGACAAACTGTGTGTCCAAACGCAGCCATGATTTGCAATGTCTTAAATGGCATTGTTTTGACACTTGTTAAAAAATGTCATGTCGGAAAACAGTAAAGCAAAATTTACTGTTCCACCTATGTCATCTCAATGCCACAGCTACGGAGACTGCAGGACGCATCCCTGGTTTGAGGAGGATATCGGAGCAGACTGTCAGGAACCATCTTTGCGAGGCTGGAATACGACCCCGAGGACCAGTTATCGTCCCTGTTTTGCAACAGATCCATCAACAGCCATACCATACAGAAACTTTGAGAAACTGGAGACGAGTGTGGTTTAGCGATGACTCTCGATTTTCTTCTTCACCGGCGAGATGGAAGACAACTTGTTTATCGTCGTCGAAATGAGCGTTTTGCCCCACATTGTGTACGGGATTTCGACAATATCGGTGGCGGTAGTGTCATGGTGTCGGGGGCCATATCCTACATCAGGAGATCTGACTTGGTTGTGGTTCAGAGAAATTTGACAGCAAATCCCTACATGAATCAAATTCTTCACCCTTACCTTCTTCAAATCATTGAAAGCCAGAGGGAGCTGTTTCAACAGGACAACGCTCCACCGAACACAGCTCATCTCACGGTAGACTACCTTCATAATGCCAACATCAACGTCTTGATCTCCAGATCTCAACACAACCGAACACCTCTGGGATGAACTCGATCGTTTTTTACGTCAACGTCAGAACACGCCGCAGACTCGCCCACAACTGGCCAACAAGCAGAATCGCGCAGAATTCCGCAGGACAGAATTCGTACACTTATTCAGTCAGTGCCGAGGAGATGCAGAGCCATGATTGCTGTCCAGGGCGGTCACACGAGATACTGAGTTCAGCGCAACCTTGTGGTCTCATGTTTCAAAGCCTTTGTACAACGACAACATGTGACTATCGAGCTCCAAAATGTGACTATCGAGCTCCAAAATTTCTTATTTGTATCTATGATATCGAATTAAATATATCGACTTAATAAGGTGCAATACATTAACGAAAAATCTACCTGTGCGTTTCTTTTTTTGAAGAATGTATTTTTATTGTCAAACTCACAATGGCTGTAAAAACATTTAGATTAAAGACGGCGCGCTTGAGTATTGTGGAAATGCTATAAACATGTTTTTTGTTTGGTATTAGACAGGTGTTAGGTAATAACCTCAGGTTATAGGCCGTTTTATGCATGCACAACACACGGATATTTTCTGTTTATCATCATTCTACCTGTAAAAGTATCTTTTGGGGCTAATCACAGAGTCAGGATAGGCTAGATTTGCGTTATTCTGATGTATGCTATTTTCGAAATTGGGATCGATTACCGTGCATCAACCAAGTCAGCGAGCCTGACCACCCGACCCCGTTAGTCACCTTTTACAACAAGCATATGGTTGGTTGGTTGATTAACGCCGCACTCAGCAATGATAGTTGGATAGTTGGTCACTTCCACAAAGGTCATAGTGGACTGAACATTCGAATTCGTAGTCTAGGAACTCTGCTACAAGATGTACACCTCTATGAAAACCTGGTTCCAAGTCAACACTACATACTATCTCGGAAGCGGATATCCTATCAAAGTGGACATGTGGCATCAATGCAGCTTTGAACATGATATCCGATTCTCATTGTAGGTTGTTGATAGACCATAAAAAAGGTTATACGCTGTATGTTCGCCAATCTCACATGGTCTCACTCCTCTCGCTGTTTTACAAATAAATATTAAATAATTAAACGAATGTATAATAAAATATAAATGCATCACCAGAATTAAGCGATGTGAATAAAAAAACACTATGATATTTACTGTTACTTTTTATTTTTGGCTGGCTATAGACTACAGGCTATAGATCGAAACAGACAGTTGAGTCCTGTGGAATTTTGACATGGCCTCATGGAAGTATGTCTCTCGTGATTAATGTTTAATGTACAAAGTGATCACGTGATCTTTCCAGTTCATAGTTCCTTTATGACAACTCCATGACGTCTTGTGTCACGTGTTTAAACCCTCAACTTACTTACTTAACTACTCTGCATACCGCTCTCAGTCGTGAAGAGAAACACTTTGAAAATGGGGTTAACAATGGTCGTTGTGCTCCATGGGATGTTTCTGGCCTCCCTACCACCCGGCGTCCCCGTCTCGTCAAGAGGGGAATGTGTGTACAGATGTTACTATCAGAAGGACTGTTCCTCCCTCTTCTACGATGTTAGCACCAACCTGTGCCAGCTGTCTACTGAAGTGTACCTTGAACGCGACTTGACGAACACATCAAGCAACATGCAGTACTTTGTATGGAGAAGAGGTATGTTAACGACTTACTTAGTTCTTCTATAAAACACTGCTACAAGATTGCTACTATTAAGGGTATGGTTTAAAGGTAAGGTAAAGGTAAGGAGTTAAGGGAGGTGGATCGAGTTAGGGTTGGATGGGGTGGAGTGGACGGGTCAACAGCAGCTAATGATTTCTCCCCATAATATTATTTTATTGTCCAATCAATTCTCAATTCTGATTGGTATTCCACGTTTTTTCAAATATCAAAAATAAACCTCTGACTCATTCAACCTATGATGACCAAACCGTTCTCAGAAGGCAGTTTCATTTTTGTAATGAAACTCAATTCTGCATGGAATACAGCTTTTCATCGAGACACAGTATGTATATCTCCAAAATGTAATGGGTTGCTGAAGACCTATTCTACCCCGGATCTTCTCCAACTTTGTATCATTAAATCCAGTTGGACAAACGTTTTAATAACGTGTCACCGCGCGTCATTAACTTAATTGAGGTTCTGGGGTATCTTGAGCGTGTCTTTAAAAACAAACATTGTTTCAAGGCTTCGAACGCACAAGGAAAGACCATGTTTTCAGAAGGCGACCTCAGCACCTCAAATCCATGTGCGATGAAATTCGGGCACGCTACCGTTTTGGGAATTCAAGCATCCGATATATCTGTGATCTTGTGAGAGATGTTTGTTTGTTTGTTTGTTGTTTAAAGCCGCACTCGGCAATATTCCAGCTATATGACGGCGGTCTTTGAATAATCGAGTCTGGACCAGACAATCCAGTGATTGACATCATTGTATGGAAAGTATTGGAAACCGTAATCACAAGCACAAATTGCAAATCGTGTATAAATAGATTGTCAACAGTTAACCAACGTTTTATATCTGGTGCTCTAACCCTGAAAGGCATAGAGTTAATGGTCCTTTTAATGAATAAAAATAAAAGAATAGTTGATAAAATCAAAGCAGTACATTATTTTCCGTCAGTGCTACATTGATTTTTGTTATATAATAAATGAATCATAACATATATTTTATTTGGGCATCTGGAACATGGGGTTGGGCATGTCACCTCAGGTACACAAAGTCTATGAAGTTTCAATAACGTCATCAGCTGATCACTCTCGTTCCTAAACTTAAGTTTTCCAAAAATAGTTACAACGCAAGAAACGTCCTCTAAATTAAACTTGAAAGTAAATGAGTGAGTGTCATCGACGGACAGTATAATAACTAGTATATCACAGTTTATAAGCAATACTAGTTTAGAACAATTAAAAGAATAACCTATTATTCAACAATAGATGATAACAAGAGTGATCAGAAAGATTATATATCCCCCTGGCAGCTGTCTGTAAAGTAACCATTAGTAAATGTGCAATTCTGTATGTAATGAGTTGTAGACAGGGGTGGATGAATAAGCTGCACTCTCACTAAGATATGGTGCTTTGTTCCTCAACAATGATATCATCAGAGTGTCCTTGCCTTTATAGGATTGTGGTTGGTTGGTTGGTTGGTTTTTGTTTAACGCCGCACTCAGCATTATTCCAGCTATATGACGGCGGTCTGTCAATAATCGAGTCTGGACCGTACAATCGAGTGATTGATATCATGAGCATCGATCCACGCAATTTGGATCGATGACATGCATCAACAAAGTCAGTGAGCCTGACAACCCGATCCCGTTAGTCGCCTTTTACGACAAGCATAGTCACCTTTTACGGCAAGCATGAGTTGCTGAAGACCTATTCTACCCCGGATCTTCACGGGTAACTTCTAAGTAATGCCTATCAAACAATTCAAATACAGAGGAGCTTGTACGATTCCGCCCATATCATGAGCATGTGTTTATGAATCACTATCAATCAGTGATGCGAACATGTTGGCGTATCATGCCCACCGGTGGTGCCCATAAATACGTGCAAAGGCAATCAAGTGTGCACCTAAAGGAACACGGGAACAAATGGTAGAAGTCAAAATAAGAGAGGTGAGGTGAAATTGGGTTTAACGTCGCGTCCAAGATTATTGCACTTATATAGCGACGTGCATGCACGTGTATGTGTGTGTGTGGCTGCTTGTACTAGTCCGGACTGATGCCGATTTATAGTGTTAGCTCACTTAGATACCATGCCGCAGTTTAACATGAATACCCCACTCAGACACAGTATACTGACTCCGAGCCGACCAGTCCTTGGTTTAGCCCCTTAATGCCGAGCGCCAGACAGGGTAACAACAAGTACAATCTTTTAACGTCTTTTTGTATGACGCGGCCCGGGATCGAACCCTGGACCTTCCGCTCTCCGGGCGGACGCTCTACCACTAGACCACGGAGGCGGTCCAAAATAAGAGAACTGCATCGGACATACGTTTTGTCACCGATGCGTCGAAATTGGAAATGTCCTCCAGCTTTACTGAGGCTTTATGACAATCTTTGAAATCGTCATAGAAGAGCATGCTCGATTGAGTGAGTGAGTGAGTGAGTTGGGTTTAACGCCGCTTTTAACAGTATTCCAGTTATATCACGGCGTGTCAGCTTGATGTGGGAGGAAAGCCCGAAGTGATGCAGGAATCAGACGTTTACCACTTCGGTGAAACCCACGAGCACGGGTATGGTGCTGACAAACCTAGAACCGGGATTCGAACCCACAATCATAGGTTTCTGGCGTGCCCAAGGGACGCAACTCTGCACAGCGAATCGCGGCGCCTTAGACGACTGGGCCACCCGTGCCCCCCATGCTCGATTGAGAAATGTAGACACGGCTGGAGCTGCTTGAATATTACTCATCACTGTTTACATACATTTACAGAAATGGTGTAGAGAATCATACACTTGTCGTCGAGTTTGTGTAGTTCAGGCAATACATGCATGTTTAATCAGATACAACCTTATTTGTCGAAGAGTCACTTGAGGTTTGGTGTGGAATAACTTTGAACATTATCGAACACTGACTGGTGACAGATATCGTGATGTCCCACAGTCTAGGCCACATTCTGGAGCAATGTTGCATGCCATGCCTTAGAGGACAACTAGAATTATGTTGTTCCAGCTATGAAGGCGTGATGGCCTTAACAGAACAATATACCTGAACTAGGCGTCAGACTAAACCCATAACACTCGTGGTGGAAAGTTTGTTAGGTGTTCCCAAGCCAGTCAAATACACTGCAGATAATTAGCATACATTGCCGATGATCTTTAGGGTGAATGTCATTTCATCCTGTGCACCCGATAATCACCTCACTCGCTGTGTGATGTCTAAACAACACAGGTCTGCTGACCTCTTCTGTGTGTAGGGGGCACGGGTGGCCCAGTCGTCTAAGGCGCCGCGATTCGCTGTGCAGAGTTGCGTCCCTTGGGCACGCCAGAAACCTATGATTGTGGGTTCGAATCCCAGTTCGCCCCGATTATGTTTCTAGGTTTGTCAGCACCATACCCGTGCTCGTGGGTTTCACCGAAGTGGTAAACGTCTGAGACCTGCATCACTTCGGGCTTTCCTCCCACACTAAGCTGACACGCCGTGATATAACTGGAATGCTGTTAAAAGCGGCGTTAAACCCAACTCACTCACTCACTCTTCTGTGTGGATGAGTTCATTCTTGTAATCATGACAGTACATTGTTCTTTAGATGACTGCGGCACTGGTTACACGTGGTACCGTACTCTTGGCCTTGGTAGTATTGTTATAGACAGTAGACTTCATTATAAGTGACAGCTGCTTGACTGAAGTGCTCGTACAATATCGAGTTGTGATGTTGTCCTTGACAGGTATTGATTCAGAGTGGTCACGCTTAGTTGTGATTGTTTTAGTGAAACTTGATATCTTCGTTACCTTCCCGGTGTAGAGGGCCCCCCTCCCCTCGTGACATAACTGGAATACTGTTCAAAGCGGCGTTAAGCAAAAACTAATATCTAATCAACGTAAGTCTCGTTACCTCTTCTGTATGTAGGAGTTCATTTTTGTAATCATGACAGTACATTGTTCTCCTTTAGATGACTGTGGCAATGACTACACGTGGCACCGAAGTCTTGGCCTCTGCTACAAGATCTACACCTCCAGGAAGACCTGGTTCCAAGTGAACACTACATGCCATCAAGACGGCGGATATCCTATCAAAGTGGACAGTGCTGACATCAACGCACTTATGAACAAGATATCCGATTCTCATTGTAGGTTGTTATTAGCCAACGCAATCACTCGTCTCAAAGCATAATTCAAACGACCCGTGAAGATCCGGGATAGAATAGGTCTTCAGCAACCCATGCTTTGCCGTGAAAGGTGACTACGCTTGTCGTATGACGCGACTAACGTGATCGGGTGGTCAGGCTCGCTGACTTGGTTGATGGATATCATCGTATCCCAATTGCGTGGAACGGTGCCTATAATGTCAATCATTGGATTGCCTGGTCCAGACTCGATTATTTACAGACCACCGTCACATAGCTGGAATATTGCCAAGTGCGGCGTTAAACAACAAACAAACAATCACCATTCAAACTTGATATCTGAAGTTCATAAAGACAAAGACGGACATACACGTGTAGTATATCAAGTAATTTGAAATACAAAAACATATATTTGAAACATCAAAGCAATTACTTCAACAATCAATAACTCATTTTTTATAGGCAATAAGATCTCCCTCCTAAAAGCATAAGTCAAACTTAGATATCTGAAGTTTGTAAAGAAGGAGGTAGGGAAAGTGTATATAAAAACTCATTTGAATTGTCTCTATAGTTTCAACTATTTGTTTTCTTTTTTTATTTAGAAAAAAGCAATTACTTTTAAAATTTGACATTCATTTATGATAATTAATTCCCATTAATCCTTAATACAGCGAGTAATGTTTTGTTTGTTTGTTTTCACCACAATCAAAATCATGTAACTTTTCCACATTTATAAATGCTTTGTCCAAGGTGATTAGGACCACCAAAGTGTTACAGATGTCATGTGAAAGTCATTGTTTGTTCGACAGTGTCACTCAGGGTCACATAGGTCTTCAGCAACCCATGTTTGCCGTAAATGGCGACTATGCTTGTCGTAAAAGGCGACCAACGGGATCGGGTGGTCAGGCTCGCTGACTTGGTTGATACATGTCATCGATCCAAATTGCGTGGGTCGATGTTCATGCTGTCCATCACTGGATTGTCTGGTCCAGACCGCCGTCATATAGCTTGAATATTGCTGAGTGCGGCGTTAAACAACAAACAAACACACAAACACTCAGGGTCACGCCTGGTCAACAAACAAACAAACAAACACTCAGGGTCACGCCTGGTCAAGGTCAGTAAGCATCTACGTTTCTGTTCACAGATGACCTATTCTGGCTGGGTGGTTTTCTCCATGGAATTTGGACATGGCCCGATGGAAGTATCATCAATCCGTTCTTCTGGGACGATGATCAACCAGAAGATATTGCGGAGAAGTGTATCTTGATAGAGAGACCAAAAAAAAACTTCATAAGGAGGTGGCATGACTTTCCATGCACACATGCCACTAAGTTCGTGTGTCAGCTTCCTCTGAAAGGAAAGCCCCTCCGTTGACAATAGGTAACAAGATGTCTCATATTTACTCAGCAACAAAAGTTCCTGTGACACCAATATTTTAGTGTATTTTTCAAACAAGTAAAGTATGGTTTTTCAATATTGTACTTCATGTATGGAATCAAGTCACAAAAACGCAACTGCTACAGAAAAGCATGCATTCTAGGCAAAAGTTGACTTTTAAGGAAGCCCCATGCATTTCACTACCCAAGAATGGGTATAAAAACATTTGCGTTAACGGGATTCCATATGCATTGTTTAGCATCGTGCTGACAACAACCACTCAGAAAAACAACAAAATTACAAGCCTTAGGTCAGAAATTCTTATCCAATCAAAATTGGCGTTACATACTTTGGACCAATAACAGTAAAGGCGCAGTTCCAGCCCCTCGGCCTATCAACTATATAAAACCATGCAGATGCCCCTTTGGTATCACATCTGCTCAAGAATAAATACTGGAACTGTCGCCATCAACTCTGTGATTTATATTCTCAACTTTATGTTCTAAGGTAAGCTGGTTTCCCTTGTTCAAATTATTTACTTGTGTACTTTTTGTTTTGAAGTTAGACCAAATAACTCTGGTTAAATATGCAGTGAAGTTATCTCACTTGAACTGAGTACAGGTAATGTATTTATGTTGTCTTTGTACAAGGTAAGTAATTATCGAGAATGTTTGTGTTTATAACGTTCTGTTCAGTGTTGTTGCAATTAATTATAAAATGCAGTTCATATGTCTATTATACTGCTAACAATTATCATTAATTGTATGTTATACTTTGTTGTGAATAGTTGTACTTTAAGTGTATTATACAGATCTCAACATTGTTGAGTAACGCACATTTATCGTTAATGTTAATATTATTGATAATATTGTAGATAGGCTAGTTAAGGAAATGCCAAGGGCAATACCTATCATAAGCCTCCAGCTGTTTGTATGTGTACATATCTCAGCCATATTATTAATATACATAAATCTTCATTATCTTGATAGATGCAAAGGTGGTAGTCTGTATATCTGTGTAATCTTATGTGTATGTGTTTAGTCTCGAGTTTAACTATGTCCTTTCTATTTTAAGTATCCAGTTAATTGTAATATGTAAAGGATATCAACTATAGCCAGTCATCTTCCCGCCATTGTCAACTCTACCATGCTAATTCCCCCAACAATCAATTATCATCTCTATGTTGATTAAATGTAAAATTGTAATATCATATAATATCTTATGTACATCTTTATTATTGTAATAATTTGAAATTGTGTATTGAATGTATCTTGATCACATCTGCTCAAGAATAAATACTGGAACTGTCGCCATCAACTCTGTGATTTATATTCTCAACTTTATGTTCTAAGGTTACCTATATATCTGTGAGAGCGCACAGCACACGCGCGTTCTCATTGGCAACAGACGAATACAGTCAGAGACCATCCTCGGAGTGGCAGGCCACGCGTAACCAATAATCGGCAAGACAACTGGATTCGAACAACACACATACGATATCGATTCCAGCCAGCAACAGTGACTGCAAGAAGCATCCCCGGCCTTCGACGAATATCTTCACAAACCGTACGTCGTCGCCTCAGATGTGCAGGGATTGTCGCCAGAAGACCCGCCAGACGTCCCATTTTGACAGGAAACCACCGTCAAGCACGTCTACAGTTGTGCAGACAGCATCTACGCTGGACGGCCATGCAGTGGGGACAAGTTCTATTCACTGACGAGTCTCGTTTTCACCTCAGCCACAGCGATGGAAGGATTCGAGTGTACCGACGTCGAGGTGAACGTAACGTCAATCATTGTGTCATTGAGGAAGATCGGTTCGGGAGCGGCAGCGTTATGGTATAGGATGGAATTACAGCAAGACAGAGGACCCGTTTGATAGTGGTAGAGGGCAATCTCAATGGACAGCGCTACCGCGACGAGATCATCGGCCCTGTTGTTCTACCGTTTTTGCTTCTTCATGGCCCAGGCATTACCTTTCAACATGACAACGCCCGGCCTCATATTGCTCGACTTGTTCAGGATTCTCTTCAACAAAACAACGTGACAGTCATCCCCTGGCCGGCTCGCTCCCCTGATCTCTCACCAATCGAGCACATGTGGGATGAAATGGATCGGCGCCTTCGACGTCAACCACGTGTTCCACAGACACACCCAGGAACTTCGAAACATGCTCAAGGAGATATGGACAGATATCCCACAGGACTTTGTGCGACGCCTGGTCCATTCCATGAGACGAAGATGTGTTGCTGGCATCGCAACCAGAGGTGGACACACACACGCTATTGATTTGTAAATTGACATTTCGGCATGTTCATGTTTTTTATGTAATCACGCATTTTCTGAAGTCAGTATGGCAAATTAAACCATTTGAACACTTACAGGAGTCTCTCATCTGCTGCAAACCGAAATTGTTTCAGTTGGTTGGTTGGTTGGTCGTTGTTAAACGCCATACTCAGCAATATTCCAGCTATATGACGGCGGTCTGTAAATAATGGAGTCTGGACCAGATAATCCAGTGATTCATATCATGAGCATCGATCCACGTAATTGGGATCAATGACCTGCATCAACCAAGTTAGCGAGCCTGACCACCCTATCCCGTTAGTCACCTCTCACGACAAGCAAAGTCGCCTTTTAAGGCAGGCAACCATAGGTTGCTCAAGACCTATTCTACCCCGGATCTTCACGGGCCAATCTATCTACCGAATTTGGATACGATGGTTGGTTGGTTGGTTGTTTAACGCCGCACTCAGCAATAGTACAGCTATATGACGGCGGGCTGTAAATAATCGAGTCTGGACCAGACAATCCAGAGATTGACATCATGAGCATCGATCCACTCAATTGGGATCGATGACATGCATCAACCAAGTCAGCGAGCTGACCACCCGATCCCGTTCTAGTCGCCTTTTACGGCAAGCATGAGTTGCTGAAGACCTATTCTCTACCCGGATATTCTCGGGTCGCCATGGCGGTATGAATAATGCTGACTTGAAATAAAAATATTCAATAACCAACTTATTTTGTATATAGCCTTGTGTGCCTGCCTTTGTATTATTATCTAAAAGATTGCAATAGAAAAAGAATCAGGTGAGCTTCAGAGCCTTTTGGCTCTTGTTTTTTTGCAAACCTAACTACAACCAAAACACGAAAAAGATATGCTTGCATTTCAAAATTCATGACTATCTTTCTATGATGAATATATGTTTCCAAGGCTCTGAATTTTAGAAATTGATTCTTATAGCTTATATATAGTTTTATAATAGTAAGTTTTGTTTTTTCTCTTCGAAGAAAATGATTTTTCACTTCTGTCATCTGTTCAACATCATTGGTTCAACTCGATTATTGGCCGATACGATGACATGCATCAACCAAGTCAGCGAGAATAAATGTTTCAGCTAAAAATATAATAGAACATTGACCAATAAACTTGATAATATACTTCTTATATTAGCCTTTGTATTAACGTATCTCAATTTTATGTTTTGTTAAAATTAATTCCTTTTAACCTCTAAAGACAAAAAAACCTATTTATTTATGGTTATGAAAAGCTATTTAATATTTTGACAGATCATAGGATGTTCCATCAGTTATGCTGCATGACTACGGTGTAGAATAGGTCTTCAGCGACCCATGCTTGCCGTAAAAGGTGACTATGCTTGTCGTAAAAGGCGACTAACGGGATCGGGTGGTTAGTCTTGATTGATGCATGTCATCGATGCAATGCGTGGATCGATGCTCATGATGTAAATCACTGGGTTGTCTGGTCCAGACTCGATTATCTACAGACCGCCGTCATATAGCTGGAATATTGCGGCGACAAACAAACTTGACAACTGTGAAGACGATATCAGTGCCATAAGTTAGGGATCGTCGCAGACAGAAATTGTTGAAGTCAGAGGCATGTCTACTCAAACTGACGATATAATGTTCCAGTGTTTGAATCCTGTTAAAACATCATGTGCAAATGACTCAGTCTTTCGCAATCAAGCCACTCAAGTTCAACATCCTGATTTTAACATTTTTACCCCCCCCCCCCCCCCCCCCCCCCCCTGCATATTATGCGGGGGTGGTCAGTTCTGTGATTTAACCCTATTCCACCCCAAACCATGACACTAGGACCACCCCACGAGTTCCGTTCAAGGACACACTGGTCATGATAGCGCTCACCGCGACGTCGCCATACTCTAACACGTCCATCGGCACGATTAACACAATACCGACTTTCATCAGAGAACAGAACTCTTCTCCACTGCTGATGGCGCCAATTCAAGCGTGCTTGGGCCCACTGTAGTCTCAGGAGACGGTGACGTTGAGTGAGAACAGGACCTTGTGATGGTCGCCTACACTGAAGCCCTCTGTCACGAAGTCGCCGTCTTACTGTGTTGGAACTTACAGCCCTCCCGTGGTTTCCAACGACGTTCCTAGCGGTTTCACTGGCCGACAGGAAACGTTCTTGCAGATGTGACCTGTGAATGTGGCGGTCCTGACGTTGTGTTGTCACACGTGGTCTGCCGGTACGACGCCTGTCTCTGGTGCTGTTGGTTGTCTGGAATCTTTCCTGCAGACGGTAGATGGTGGAAACGTGGACGTTAAAGGTGTTTGCAACTCTCTGAACACTCTCACCAGCTTGAAGTTGCCCAATAGCTCTCTCTAGATCGATCTGTGACAGTCGTGGCATTGTCACTGACGTTGATGAGTGAATGATTCACAGTGACACTTTCGTGGCTTTTAAGGACAACATCTTCATGGACAGTTTTTGCGGCATAAGCAGCACGTGCATTTCGTGCGTATCCATCCCACACTGACTTCATTGTCGGTGCGTTTGAGCGCTGTTGATTAAGAGTTCACTGCCCTAACTCTGGTTAGGGTCATTTTGAAACAATTAGAGCCCATTACAATGGAACCATAGCAGCCAACCGTTTTCACAACCATTTTCCCATATTAAATAGGAACTTGAAGATTTCGCGTTTCTTTTGGTGTTCGGTATAGGTTTTGACGTTATTGATAGAGCATTGTCTCACAGACATTGAAGCAATAAAAT